CGCTCAGGTAGATTTCGTCGTCATGGTTGCGGTCACACGGCCCCCCCAGGCGATCCCCCCCCGCCCCGAGGTTCACCTCCACCACCTGACACACACACACACACACACAGACACACACACACACACACACACACACAAACACACACACACAAGTAGAAAATATTTCATTTAAAGATAGTTTTATTATCCATTTCTTATTTGTGTGGTTAGATCTGACATTTCCTGATATCAGAGAGCAGATATTGTTCCCTCACCTGAGCGTTGTTGTTGTTGTTGTTGTCCTGCGGGCAGCGGCTGGCGAAGTATGCGCTCTGATAGGCTCTGACGGAGGCATTGTTGATGTATTCGTGGTACGACGGCATTGGGTGGATCTGCTCCGGCTGCAGCAGCTCATTGGCTGTCGGAGCAGGAAGTGCTCGTTAATCACCGAGACAATAATATAATAATAATAATAATACATTTAATTTTAATAGCGCTTTTCCTGGTGCTCAAAGATGCTTTACATAAAATCAGACACATAAACATTACAATATATATAAATAATAATAATAAATAATAATAATTTATAAATAATAATATTTATAAATAATATATTTTATAAATAATAATAATATTAATAAATATCTAAAGTGTAAATAAAGTGTTTATATGTTTGTTTACCGTCAGACTCGGCCACGATGACGGAGAAGAAGCGCACGGCTCCGTTGGCGTCGCTGAACCATGAGCAGTTGAAGCGAAACAAGATGGACGACGGCGTGACCTTTGACCTCTCGTTGACCCGGACACTGGAGGGCGGGACCGGAGGACCTGAGGGGAGACGGGTCACAGCAGAATATATATTTATACCGGAAGACATTGAAAATAAAATAAAGGTATTTATATAAAATGTCCAATAAAATACAACTGGATAAAATATTTATAAAATAAGAAGAAGTAAAAGTAAAAATGTGCAGATTGTACTACAATATTTAACATGGATATTACAATCATTGCAGTGGTGTATTAGTATAAATAGGGTCATATATAGATATTTGATATGTTGTCAATAAAGATGTTTGTTTCTTTTCCCAGTATTAAAGCCCAATTCTGCCCAAAAACTATAATATTTAAATAATAAAAACATCAGATATTTTTAATGACTCAACAGAAAGAGGACCTGGTTTCAGTGTGTGTGTGTGTGGTGTGTGTGTGTGTGTGTGTGTGTGTGTGTGTGTGTGTGTGTGTGTGTGTGTGTGTGTGTGTGTGTGTGTGTGTGTGTGTGTGTGTCTCACGGTCGATCATGGTGCTGGTGGTGTGTGTTGTCTCTCGGCTCTTCTCTCCACAGGAAATGACTCTGACCGTCACCATGTACTTCCTGTACGCCTCCAGCTGATCCAGCGTTACCGTGGTGACGCCGGCCGACAACCTCTTCGCAGAGGTCAGCTGCCCGTCGTCGTGGCGACGACACTCGACCTCGTAGGAGTCGAAGTCGGAGAGGGAGGGCGACCAAGAGCAGGAGAGAGAGGAGGGAGAGAGAGGGAAACAGTGGAGAGACCTCAAGGGGGAGGGGCCTGAGGTAGGAGACAAGGAGGGGAGTCAAGGAGGGAGGGGAGGAGGACGGAGGAGACAAGGAGGAAGGAGAGGAGATCAATGGCAGTGTTGAGAGTAATCTGCTGAGTCTGCCGTTCGCTCAGATTAGAGTAAAGTGATGAAGGTGACTCGGCACAGTTATCTTTTTATCACTAAAACGGATATTTATACTACAATTTAAATATATATCTTCATCACTGTATGTGGAAATACTACAAAATAAAGCTTTTGGTATATATGTATTAAAACTTAAGACTTCCTGTTATATGTCCAGTGTAAACTCAATCTGCTCCACTTTAATTTGGTGTGTTTTCATCTAAATGTATCTCCTTCTCGATATACGACCTGAGCTAAAAGCAGAAACTGGGTCATTATATAAATATGTATATCATGTGGGAGGTTATTTATTTATTCATGCTGGCCATCAGTTCTGATTTCTGAAGCCAAAAACTAAAACTTCCCAAACAAAGTCAAGAGGAAAGTATTCAGGCAGTGTTTCCATCTGCTGGTTAGAGGAGGAAACACATATCATATATATCAAATGTATATATATATTTAATTTGTCTGTGTAGTAGAGCTTTATTACTGTTCATAAATAATGTGAAAAAATGTTCCTTTAATTTATTTCAATGTTTTAATAGATTTTTATTATATTTGTTATTGTTTTTACTTTATTATTTATTTTGATTTAAGAGCATGAAACTAAATAAATGTTTTAAAGGTCACCTATCGTGCTATTTTTAGGCAATAGCATAGGTCTCAGATGTATTAAAATGTATAAAAAACATGTCTATGAAGTGTTTTGCTCAAAATACCAAACAGATCACCCATTCTAGCCATGCCTCATATCCCTCTGTTTCACTTCCTGTTTCAAAAGTGCTGATTTGGGGTATAAAGGTAATTGATAAAAAATAAAAAAGGAGGGGTCTGAGCTCATGCGGGACCCGGCAGCTACCGTCTAAACTAAATGCTGCCGTGATGAAACACCATATCATGGATTATCAAGGATTCTCTCTGAAACAGTATGGAGCTCAAAGGCTTTCTCTCTTGCCGGTTATACCACAAGGTGAGTTCCTTTTTATTTCCTGCTTCTTCACACACATGCTCTCCAGTACAGGTTAGCTCTGAGTGTTAGCGATGCTAATGTAAACACCGACCATATTACGTCCAAAACAGTCGGGCATTGTTTCTGATAGCAACGTTTCTGATAGGCCCGTGGGTCCACCACGTGGGTGCCATCCGATATGACGTAAATTACGTCATATCGGACGCAAATCTAGATCAGCTCGTTGTTCCCCCATTTTTTAGAGATTTGGGTACGGAGGAAAAGAGAGAGGGTTTTATTTGCTGACGCTGCGTGAGTTCCCTGACACACCGGGGACACATATTGATGTAGAGAAGACATAAAAAAGTGCATTTTGCATGATAGGTCCCCTTTAAATTATATATATTTTTAATTGATTTAGTCTTCTAGTCATGATTGTGCTGTTCCTCTAGAATTGATTATAAATACCCTTTATATTTGTTTATATTTATGATATTCTACATACAATTTCAGACTCGAACACCTACTTGTCCTGACGCTCGTCGTGATTGGCTCGCTCCTCACTAAAGGCCCGTCCCTGGCTCCGCCCCCACTGACGGTTGCCACGGTGAAGTTGTACTGTCGCCCCGGAAACATCCCGCTGAGCACGCGGCCGGTCAGCTGGACCTGAGTGATTGACAGGCGGTCGGGAGGCAACCATTGAAGACTGAAGCTGTCAAAGTCTCCGGAGGCGGGACCTGACCACGACAGCTCCAGCGTCTGATTGGTCGAGCCCTGTATGACGGACAGGTAGGTGGGAGGCTCCGGAGCTGGAAGACATAAAATATGTTCATTGTTAGAATTAAAACTTTTTGGATTTTTATTTAAAAAATATTGCTTGTAATTTTAAGAGTTTAAAAGGAGAAAGTTTTTTTTTATTGCAGTAAAAATAAAAAATAAAGTATATATTTTTTAAACAACAATGGCATTTTGTGAAAAAACTGGCATTTAAATAAAAAATGTAACTCAGTAAAAGTGAACAAAGATATGAATACACGTGTAAATACTCTTCCCTCAGTGTTTGTGTGTATTGTTTGAGTTTTCATGTGACGTACCGGTGCGTCCGAATGCTGACACATTATTGGTCAGTTCCCCGCTGTGAGTGATGACATCAGCGCGGTACAGCCTACCAGCAACGAGCCCCAAGAACATGTGACTAATGACGTCAGCGCCGAGCATCTGCTCCGCCACAACGGCTCCAGAAACATCCAACAACACCACCTAAACACACACACACACACACACACACACACACACACACACACACACACACACAAAAGATTATACACACATTTTAACATCTGGGTTTTTTCAGGAGAAATTCCCATTTAAATCCTCATTGCATTGTTTACATATTTCAAGCATACATTTAATCTAGTATATTCAGCTTTGTGATAATGCATTGTATATCTCTCATAAAAAAGCAGGTTAAATCCCACTTTAAGTATATATATATCCCTCTCTCTCTCTCTCTCTCTCTCTCTCTCTCTCTCCTCTCGCCTCTCTCTCATCCATCTCCTCTCTCTCCTTCTCTCCTCTTCTCTTCTCTCTCTATCTATCTATCTATCTATCTATCCATCCATCCATCTATCTATCTATCCATCTATCTATCTATCTATCTATCTATCTATCTATCTATCTATCTATCTATCTATCTATCTATCTATCTATCTATCTATCTATCTATCTATCTATCTATCTATCTATCGATCTTCTATCTATCTATCTATCTATCTATCTATCTATCTATCTATCTATCTATCTATCTATCTATCTATCTATCTATCTATATCCATCCATCCATCCATCTATCTATCTATCTATCTATTTGTATTAAATTAAAACACTATAACTAAAGATGTTACCTGGTATCTGCTGCAGCCTCCTTCATTTCTCCTCCAGCCGAGCGTCAGTCTGTCGGTCCGTCCTGAACTCTGAACCTCCAGAGAGGAGACCGGGGAGGGGACTGCAGAGAGAGAGGACACCTGATTATTCTGTTTATTATTGACTGTTTAATAAACTAGCTTTGTCGCTTTGATTTTTAATTTTTGCAAGAAGAAAAAGAAAAATGACAGGCAAAAAAAACACAGAATTACAGACAGACAGATAACACCAAAACCAATAACTTAAAGTTTAATAATAATCAAATGTGATAAAGTTAGAAAGATATTTAAAAATAATGTCTGAAAATGTTTTTTAAAATATCTGTTACATGTCTGAAAAATATATGAAAACACATAGTTAGCTAAGAAAAGAAAAAACAAGAACATGTAATTAAAGGAATTAAAAAACGTTAAAAAATCTGAAAGATCTATGAAAAAAACAACATAATAAATAAAACTAAGACACAAAACATTTAAATTAAAAGGAAATACAAATCAAAGGAACTTACATTTTGTATTAAACAAGATTAATTAATTGAGTTTTTAAGTCTTCACGAACGTGTTCCATGTTTCAAAGAGATCTATTAATTAAATATTCTATAATAATGATGATGATGATGATGATGATGATGATGATGATGATGATGATGATGATGATGATGATGATGATGATGATGATGATGATGATGATGATGATGATGACAGGGTGCACTGACCGGTCCTGGCCAGCAGGGCGCTGTCGCTGCTCATCTCTCGGCTCCGGCTCTCCACCTGCAGCCGGTACAGACTTCCTGCTGTCAGCCCGGAGAACACACACCTGTCTGCAGCCGGAGGGAGAGTCTGCACACACACCGGCTAAACACAGGTGTGTGTGTTCATTATTATGGAAGGGTTAGGGTAAACAAGTATATATATATTCAAGTTTTAAGTCATTGTACTTGAGAATATTCATTTTATGCTATTTGAACATTGATTATGCATTTTAATTTGGAAAAATATGGCAAAAGTAAACAAATAAAATCAGATAAATATGACGAAATTATATAAAACATATCCGAAAAATAGGTACAATTTAAATGTTAATAAAGTGAAAAACATATTTGAAAAATAACCCAAAAATATCATATTTAAACAACATTTTTTTAAATTAATGTGAAAAAATCAGCGAAAAACCTCTGAAAAAACCTGTTTTCATGACTTGTTCTTCAGTATTAGGTATTAGTACTTTTACTTAGTTATACCCCCCCTGATGATTCACTCTCTCACCTGCTGAGGCTCCTTCCTGCTTCCTGCAGACTCCTCTCTCTGATTGGCTGTTGCCTCGGCGATGCTGTATAGTGACAGGTGGTAGACGTCCACGTGTCCGTCAGACGGACGCCACGAGAAGGAGAGCGAAGACGAGTTGAGCGCTGACACAGAGAGGTTACTGACGGCAGCAGGGCCTGAAACACAGAGGGGTTATTCACAGAATATGTATAAAAAAAGGTCGTATGAAAAATGTCAAAAAATACGTAAATAATGTGAAAACAATGACAAATCTTAAAATGCATTTTCTTAACATCCTGACTCACGTGTCTGTCCCTCGGCCGTGGCCTCCAGCGACCTTTGACCCCCGCTGAGGGTCACGACCTTCACTTTGTACCAGCGGCCGGACGTCAGACCCTCGAAGCGCTCGCTGCGTTTCTCCTCAGAGACCGTCTGATTGGCCAGCAGAGCTCCGGCCTCGTCCAATAGCTGCAGAGCGTAGCTGTCGTAGACGCCGAGCGGACGTTCCCATTGGACCCTCAGACTGTGAGTGGTGTGATCGTTATCCGCCTGAAGCGCCGTTACACGAGCCGGAGCTAAGACACGAAATATAATCAGGGTTTTGTTTTTGTTTACTTAAAAATGTAAGGGATAAAATAAGACATGTTTTAAAAATATATACAGTGGGGGAAATAAGTATTTGATCACTTACAAAGAAATGAACAGTCTATCATTTTAATGGTAGGTTTATTTTAACAGTAAGTCAGAATATCAAAAAGAAAATCCAGAAATGGACATAAGATAAGATGGACCTTTATTAATTTCCTCCACTGTATATATTTCACTTCTACAAGAAAATAGTTTGTAATATGAAATATGTTCATGTATGGATCAAATATGTCAATAAATAAAACGTAAAGCAGTTCAGATTAATCCTGTCCTACCCGTCCTGCCGGTTGCTGCGTTGCTATTGGTCAGCGTGCCGCTCAGTGATTGGATGGTGACGGTGTAGGCGTGGCCTGGAGTCAGATCCAGGAAGTCCAGAGAGGAAACAAATTTCGGGACGCGTCGAGTTTGGAGGATGTTTCCACTCTGCAGACAGATTATGTTAGAAAACTCTCACTCGTCTCCAGCTTGATCTTCAATCTCAGGATCCATGTATTTGTGATCCTCTCCAGAATGGAAGTAGTCATCACATACAGAGCATCAACTAGTTCCTGAACAGTGTCCTTCACATGCTGATATCCAAGAGAGGGAGTTACACAGTCACAAGATGGAGGAATAGAAAGCAGTATTCAATGTTTACTTCAGATTAGCTCCACGTCAGAAATGAGCATGCTTGTCATATGGCTATCTCCATAGAGGCTGAATCATCATGTTAATCACATAGCTATCATATGCCTCAAACAGTCCTGATGCTCTTCTAGGTAATCAGACATCCTGTCATGTTCACAGCTACAGTTGGGATACCTTTGTTATCATGTTACTCTCATATTGGAAGAGGACATTCAGGACTTCCCCAACAGGAAGTGACATCAGAACTGATTTGTTTCTCATTAAAAAATATATTAGGTGTATTCCCTCAGAGTGGATCTAATTGGACTCACGGTGGTGGATAAAGTGACGATGATGAGGTCGAGGTCTCCGTCTCCGGGGGTCCAGGACACCGTCAGACCCCCCACGGAGCGAGGGGAGATGTGGAGGTTCCCCACCGCACTAGGGACTGCAGGGGACACAGTTCAGAACAAACTGGACTAAATATACATTTGATTCTGATGTTTTTGGTCTATTTTGGTAAAAATGTGTTTTAAAAAATGGCAGAAATGTGTGTAAAGAATGTGTGAGTATTATGTGAAAATTGTCCAAAAAATATATGATAAACTCCTTAACTACATTTCATAGAAAAATAGGAAAAATAGCATAATTTTGTTGAAGATATGTTTTAAGAAAATGGCAGAAATGTGTTGAAAGTTGTCAAAAAATGTGTGAAAATTGTCAAAATAAATAAGGTAAAATCTTTAAATGTATGTAAACAAATCTCCAAAGAATATGAGAAAAAAAATGTAAAACAAAATGTCAGAAATGTATTGAAGAAATGTCTGAAAAATAAGTGAAAATGTCCCAAAAAGATGTGAACAATGTTAAAAAATGTCACAAATAGATGTAAAAAATCTCTAAAGAACATGTGAAAAGTACGAGAAATATGTGAAAACCGTCTAAATAAAAGTACACCAGGTACAGGTTTCATATACCCCTCCCCTCACCTGAACGAGCCCCTCACCTGTGCGACCCTTGATGGAGGACGCTCTCTGGTTCTTCCCGCTGAAGGTCGACACCACGACCTTGTAGATCCTGCCGGGGGTCAGAGAGGTCAGACGGTGCCGCTGCCGCTCGCTGCCCAAAGTCACCGGGGGGAACACCTGAGAGTCGTTGAAGAGCAGCGTCACCTGGGGGGGGAAACACAGGTGTTACAGTATTCAAGTATTATTCAATTATTGATTTTATGTCAAGCGTCTGAGCATTAGGAAATATGCAGAGATGGTAAGAGTACACACATCCTTTACTCAAGTAGAAGTACACACATCCTTTACTCAGGTAGAAGTACACACATCCTTTACTCAGGTAGAAGTACACACATCCTTTACTCAGGTAGAAGTACACACATCCTTTACTCAAGTAGAAGTACACACATCCTTTACTCAGGTAGAAGTACACATCCTTTACTCAAGTAGAAGTACACACATCCTTTACTCAGGTAGAAGTACACACATCCTTTACTCAGGTAGAAGTACACACATACTTTACTCAGGTAGAAGTACACACATCCTTTACTCAAGTAGAAGTACACACATCCTTTACTCAGGTAGAAGTACACACATACTTTACTCAGGTAGAAGTACACACATACTTTACTCAGGTAGAAGTACACACATACTTTACTCAGGTAGAAGTACACACATCCTTTACTCAAGTAGAAGTACACACATCCTTTACTCAGGTAGAAGTACACACATACTTTACTGAGGTAGAAGTACACACATACTTTACTCAGGTAGAAGTACACACATCCTTTACTCAGGTAGAAGTACACACATACTTTACTCAGGTAGAAGTACACACATCCTTTACTCAAGTAGAAGTACACACATCCTTTACTCAGGTAGAAGTACACATCCTTTACTCAAGTAGAAGTACACACATACTTTACTCAAGTAGAAGTACACACATCCTTTACTCAGGTAGAAGTACACACATCCTTTACTCAGGTAGAAGTACACACATACTTTACTCAAGTAGAAGTACACATCCTTTACTCAGGTAGAAGTACACATCCTTTACTCAAGTAGAAGTACACATCCTTTACTCAAGTAGAAGTACACACATCCTTTACTCAGGTAGAAGTACACATCCTTTACTCAAGTAGAAGTACACATCCTTTACTCAGGTAGAAGTACACATCCTTTACTCAAGTAGAAGTACACATCCTTTACTCAAGTAGAAGTACACACATCCTTTACTCAAGTAGAAGTACACACATCCTTTACTCAAGTGGAAGTACACACATCCTTTACTCAAGCAGAAGTACACACATCCTTTACTCAAGTAGAAGTACACACATCCTTTACCCAAGTAGAAGTACACACATCCTTTACTCAAGTAGAAGTACAGATACTCGTGTTTAAAAAGTACTGGTATTTGTGTTCAAAATGTAAGAAGTAAAAGTAAAAAGTGCTATAAAAATCCAATGTATTATTATTATTATTATTATTATTATATCCGTCAAGGTGCAGTATCTATATATATGTATTGTTTTTATGTATTGATCCCCCTCACCTCGTAGTGGTCCACGTCTCCGGGCGCCGGGCTCCAGCTGACGGTCAGATCAAACGTTCCTGCGTCGACGAGAGAGAGATTCCCCACAGCGGCTGGAACTGGAGAAACACAAAGCTTTAAATCAACACCAACAATAATTAAATATATATAAATAAAGAACATTTAAATAAATAAAATATGAAAAAATAATTAAATAAATTAAAAGAAAGATTAATAAATACATTTAAAAAAAATATATATATAAATTAATATAAATGAATATTTTTCTCTGAGCCTCACAGGTGCGTCCGTCGGTGGACCGGCTGCTGACGTAGTCTCCGCTCCACGTTTCCACGGTGACGGTGTACAGTCGCCCCGGCGTCAGCGAGTAGAAGAAGCACTCGTT